GGAAGGCCTAAAGACAATGATAAAATACAGTGAATAATGTCAAAGTACGCAAAAAAACAGTGATGTACTGTAAAATGACTAATTTTCACTGGGTTTATATTTCGCTGATTTACCATTTCAGGCATATTCAGTGGGTTTTAAATTCACGGTTTTATCATTTAGATAATGTGTTCTATGCTCAATTTTACATATTCACTGGGTTTTAATTTAGTGCACTTTCCAGTCAGCGAAATTAATAAGCAAAATTAAAACCCAGTGAATAATTAAGCTTTTTACAGTAGTTGGTTTTAGTACCGTAATACAGATTTTTGAGTTACTTGAAGAACTAATGTACATCCATAGTCCTATAATATCTAATTTATGTAAAAATTCTGAATGAATTTCATCCACAACTGAGATCTGGTTCCGAATTGGTGTAAATGCTTGATTCAGATGTAAGTTTAGTATTAAAACAGTCATCAATCCAACCATGGTGTATGAAGTTTGGATATGATCCAGTCAGGCATGTGTCGAGATGTATGTGCAAACAAATATACACAAACAAGTTCACATTTTCAGACTTTTTCTGAATGGGGGATTGAAAAAATAGATTAGGATTAATAAACTTACTCAACCAAGGTCTGTCTTTTAAGTGGGAAATCTACTCCGGCTGGCAATGATATAGACACGCTGTGTAGCTTATTGACGTAGGTGATTTTCGGAATGTCTGGTTTCCTCCGAGGCCGACCCTAGAACAAACAAATTAGCACCACAAATGAATTACTGTAAACTGCTTTCATTTCATTTTTGCAAGTCAGTGATAATTTTGAATATCGATGAGTTTTCATGAATAATATAAAATTTTGAAAATTCCTGGGAGTGTTAATTAACCAGTTTACAATACATCAATGGTTTATGTTTGTGATATTGCTTTAACGATCAGAATGCATAGAATATTTTATTATTTAATTGTATAAAAGATTGAATATATATAGAATATAATTTCAATGTTAATTTACAAAGTCAGCATAATTCAAAGAGTCAATAACAGTAACTATCGATATGACGTGCCACTTACACACGAAGATTTATCGTGAGGCAACAAGTGGTGATAATTCACTGGCGTGTCATTGATGCAACAGACACTTGTATATTGATCTTAGAAGATATATGATCTTACTATAGTTAGGAAATTTGTAATTTGATAAAATGAAGTTGAATAAGTATTGGTAAATACGCAGGAAATCAGAAGCCACAACATATTTGTTTGTGCTACTAGTAACATACAATTTGATTTTTTTCTTGAAGACTGTGACCTTTCAGTCAGATTTCAACAAAATTGGCCCTGTTGGAGGATTAACAGATCTGGCAATGTTTTTATACATAGTAAATGATGGGACGGCCAATTAAATCACGTTTTTCATGATACGCTGGTGAAATAATATTTATGAATAAACAACAATAGATTTAATACCCGAGTTCCTTTTTGTTTTGTTTCCTGCTTCTTCAATAGCCTATCAATTGTTTGTTTCTGAAATTGAAAGAGATAGAATTGAGTACTGACAATTCTGTAATGAAATGAAATGAATGAATTGTGTTTTTATTAGTTCAAAAGTGACTTAGAAATGAGATAAATATTATCATTATCGATACAGTATCCACCAAGTACAATTTTTTTTTATACACAATAACATCCCATGTTTTATGTGCAAATTATTGTGCCACCCATACACAAGAGCATTTTAATAATATACAATACTACATGTGACTAAATGTTAAGGTTATGGTCTGTCTATCGCAATGAAATTATGGCAAGTGAACAGTAACAAACATGGAAACTCTCCACACTGAGGAGAAAGACAATTGCTATTATAGTTAACGTTAAATTTGAAAATGATATCAATATAATCGATGCCTCGAGAAGAAGGCTATTATTATCTGCTAACTACATAAAGGGAGCGATGCTTATCTCTACCACAATGTCAATATAGTCACACAGATTTCATAGGATAAAACTATAGTAAAACCTACTTTTGACAGCCAGTATATATTTCAAATTAGGACCAAACAAAATATGGTTTTGCTTTCACTGAATCATTCCTTCAGTGAAAATAGCGAAAATTAATTTCAAGCAAAAATAAAGTATTTAACAGCAGTAGAAGTGCATAAATTGAAAATCCCCCTAAGTTAAATCATGTTAGACAGTTTAAACGGCAATTTATAATGCACGGAATAAGCACATTTAAAACCAATACATGTAATTATTTCCAGCACCTTGTTTTCTTCAATTTTTTTCTGGGCTTGTTGTCTTCTTTTCTTGGCCTTTTGAGCCTTTCTTTGAATCATTTCTTCCGTCATCTCCTGAGTTTTATACCCTGATGGAAGCTGGACTAATTTTTCCTCCTCGTCCAGATTAGGACCATGCAGCATAGCTCTCTGTCTGGCAGTCAGTAAAGAAGGATCTTTTTTCCTCCAATCATCTTTGTCATCCAGTTCACCGGATTCTAATTTTTTTAACCACATTTCATCGTCACTGTCTTCTCCATGCTTTCTTGGTGGCTTCTCTACTTTGGTTTCTACTACTGGGGCTGGTACTGAATCTACAGTACTATCATCTTTAAAATAAAACGTTTTTAATTATAAAATATAAACACTAATCTAATTCAAATCTGATAAAGTTTGAGGGTGGGAACGTTTTTAAAATAAGGCTGTCAGTGTACATAACCACATCCAACCAACTAGTATATGCAAATCATAATCTTGTTCAATGATCAACAACCAATCAAATCTTGTGGTACAGACTGTTTTCTGGAGTGGCACAATATGTTTTAATAAGATGTGCTTTGATTGGTTCACAAATCTCATTGGAGGGATTTGCACAGGTAGTTGGTTAGATGTATTTAGCAATGTGTACACTTTGATAGTCATTTCAAATCCTTGGTTTCACATCTACATATAAAATGATATTACAAACCATATATGTAATCTTAAAATTCTTGATTTTACTATTAGACCATAATTTAATCGTATACCTTCAGAAAGCGATCCTCTTTTAAGGTCTATAATTTGATATTAACACAAATTGTTACGTACATTTAAATGGTTTAAATGTGTCATCTTCTTCACTGGATGGCTCGAATAGTAATTCTGTCAACTCTAAAATATAGAACATAAGAACAAGCATGACATATCCGTTAGTTAAAGAGTACTTGGTCTGGAGTTGGCCACTATTGTTAATTAACAAAATGTTTTGGGGCCGAAGTCTTGTAAGAGTACGAGATGAGCAGCTCTGAGAATCTTACCAGATTGATTATTATGATAATCTCATTTATAATTTGATCAAGAACAAATAATTATTTTTTGAGATGGCTGAAGAAAAATTAAAAATTGAAATATGTATATCGGTATAATTTAAGCATATATAACACAGTACTTACATCACCTTGTGATTAATTATTGATTCAAATATATTCAGATTATTTTTGTCACTGTATAAGTCTGTGTTTGGATTTTCCACAACGGAAAACCTGTGAGAAAACACTACCAGTATTGTATATTACATTTGTTTGTACTGAAAAGCAGATGTTCCCAAGTTTCAGAGTCAAAAATTGTTAAATACATGGAGTAAAAATGACCCCAACAATACCAATCATTCAGGTCTAAGATTCGAATATATGGAGTAAATAACCCCAAAGGTACTAACCCATGAAGCATTGAACACTAACTCCACACTCAACATGAGTAGAACAAACTTACTTTTTGGTTCCAAATGTTTTGCCTCCAATTTTAATCTTGAGTTTCAACAGTGGTTTTCCAGCACTATCACTTGCACCAGCAGTGTCAGATGCCTGACTTGTGCTCAGTTCATAATGAGGATGATCATAACGATGGTCTTTCTTCTTTTTTTTCTTGTGTTTATGCTTATCTTTTTTGTGTTTCTTGTGTGAATGGGATGTTGCTGCAAGAAATAGAGAATTTTTGGTGTTCAAGATTAATTTGTTTTCTGTGTAACACAAATGATAAATATAAGGTTTTAAATCCTGGTTGCGATAGGGCTGCATACCACAAGGGAGGGGGGGGGGACGATGCACAATCACACACAAGTGTCTGAGATCCAATAGGGGTAGGTTTATTCTAAATAACAAAACTAGGGGGCCAGAGTTTGGCCAATAAAGAGACACTGCTGAGTAAATATGTTGCCATGGCAACCCCAAGGTTGCTGAAATAGAGCTGGTTGATACAAGTGACATATCCACGAACCAAAGGTGGGGTTGATCAGATAATACAGCCGTTATGAAGCTAACAATTATATCAACCAGATCTATCATTTGACGTGATGCATTGGATTTCCATTGCAGGCAATCTAATTTTTGTGCGAACAATGAATAACTTATCAAACTAAAACATTCTGTTAATGTTATAGTAGGACATGATTTTTATGAAATCTATAGTACTAGTACATGTACGTTCTTCCAAAGTGCAATTCATGATTTCTTTCTGTTCGTATTGCGATATTGTGTACAGCGTGCCTTTCCACCAAATCAACATAAAAGTATGCATACATTTTTTATTCTTATCTCATTAATACATATCATGCAAAATACAAAAATTTG